AAGCCCCTCTCCTCAGAGAGCCTCCCTCTATGTGGAATGGGCTCCTGAAGTCTGTTTGTATACCAGGGATAAATACTGACGGGACGGCTCTCCATTGCAAATGAAGGATAACTGCTACCTCACCGGATGGTCTGGGCATTAAACTCTGCCTGGCTCAGTAAAGGGCAGCTTGAACCTCTTGTGTACTGGGGTCCAAGCTGAGGTGCTGGGATTCGGTGGCGACCCTGGCATAGGCCTTGCTTCTGTTAGCCCTGCATTGCTCAGGGTGGAATGGAGTGTAGGGTTGCTGTCTTGAAGACCAGCATGGCCTGGGATCATGATCTCTCCAGTCCCTGAGGTGATTTTAACCTTAGACTCCCCCAAGTGTGTTCTTTGATTATAATAACTCGCCCGGGGTAGTGGCACAGCTCTGTAACACCAGCACTTAAGAGCTGGAGAATGGAGAGTTCAAGGTCATCCGCCTGCACCAGCCTGGGCTACACAAGGTCCTGTCAAAACAATGACATCTCCAAATGTGGCCGAGCCACAGATTTAAAATAAAAACAAACGTTTACTCAGCGCGTATGTGTGAGTGCACGTGCACAGGTGTGCCCTTGTGAGTCTGTGTTCTGTGATGGAGTTCAGAGGACAGCTTGTGGGATTCTGTTCTTCTTGGGAGTCCTGGGGATCCAACTCAGATTGTCAAGCTTGGTGACAATGACCTTTAATGACCTTTACCCTCTGAACCATGTTGCCATATGACTCTGAGTCATAGGCTTTATTTTTATCTGTTGTATGTGGAATTTATTCTACATACAACTTGTGTATTTATTCATTTTAAGAAACCAAGTTTAATCCCAGCACTCGGGAGGCAGAGGCAGGTGGATCTCTGTGAGTTCGAGGCCAGCCTGGTCTACAGAGTGAGTTCCAAGACAGCCAGGACTGTTACACAGAGAAACCCGGTCTCAAAAAACCAAAACCAACCAACCAACCAAACAAACCCCTCCTCCCCAAACCCAAGTTTTAAGTTATCAAGGCAATGAAGCAAGCAGCTTCAGACTTTATAGGGATGGAATGCACAGCTCAACACATGGTAGTGTGTCCTAGGAAACTTCTGCTTCAGAAATGTGACACTCAGATCCTCAAAAAGCTTAGGGGGTGTCTTCAAGCTGTCTGCATTTTGGGGCAGGAATAGAGACAGAAGCCTTAGCTGAAGGAGGAAAGTGCCTCCATTAGAATAGGTGGTGGCAGACGCCTTTAATCCCAGCACTCAGAGGCAGGTGGATTCCTGAGTTCAAGGCCAGCCTGGTCTACAGAGTGAGTTCCAGGACAGCCAAGACTACACAGGGAAATCCTGTCTCAAAACAATAACAACGACAAAAAAAAAAAAAAGAAAAGAACAAAAAACCCCCCCCCCAAAAAAAAACCCAAAAAACAACTCAGTAGACCCCTGGGTACTTAGAACAAAACTGGCCTGGAATTGTCACTTGCCAAGCGGCTGCAAAGCCCAGCCAGCCACCTAGCACCTGCTCTGCTGGCACAGTGACGCCAAGCAACTTGGTAAGTGGTGCTGATCATGCTGCAGCCACTAGAGGTCAGAATTGAAAGCTCTTTGGCATCCACCCCGAAGCTACCGCTGTTCACAGACTTTAACAGCGCTGTTCCTAGTAGGGTATAGTTTGCAACCAAATCATAAGTATCAAGGTGGATGTATAACATGGATAGCATTTATCTGTCTGTCTGTCTATCTATCTGTTTATACTTCATGTATGTCTGTGTCATGTGCACGCAGTCCCTGAGAAGGGTAGAAGAGGACTCCAAATCCCCCGGAACTGGAGTTACAGACAGTTGTGAGCCTCCAGATGGGTTCTGGGAATTGAACCCCAGTCCTCTGGAAGAGCGAGCCCTTAACTGCTGAGCCATCTCTCTCCATCTTTAGGGCTGGAATCCTGACTCTGTTAGATTCTTCTGCCTTCTTCCTCCTTGTTCAGGATCACCGTGGCCATCTTCCACCCATCAGGATAATCCAAAACAGTGCTCCACTGTTTTCAAATCAGTAGAGTCGACTTAGCTCTATCGGGTTTCTGGTCCTGTTTGCCAGGTAAAGTAGCACAGTCCTGTGTTGTGGTGTCCTGGATTCTAGCTGTCTTGGGGAAGGCCATTGCTCAGCTCACTATACTGTCCTTCATAAAATCTGGATCTTAAGATTTTCCAACGACTACCCATATTTCATCCATTCTGTTCTGCTTAAATTAGGCTGGGTAAACTCCACTTTTTTTTTGTTTTTTTGAGACAGTTTCACTATGTAGTTCAGGCTAAATTTGAACTCTAGATCAGTCACTCAGGCACAGAGATTACAGGCCCACTGCATGCTGCCAACTCCCAGTGCTTACAATCAAATAACAGAAATACACGTTCTGGTCACTAACTAGTCACTGTCCTTCTGTTTTATTTGGCACGTGTACTTCTCTTGCTGGGACAGAATTCCTGACAAAGCCACTTAAGGAAGGAAGGGTTTAGTCTGGATGGCAGCTCCAGGGGATGACCCATCATGTCGGGGTCGTGGTGGGGCGGGCATGATGGCAGGAGCTTGGGGCGGCTTGTCCACACTGCATCTGTAGTCAGGAAGCAGAGAAACGGATGCTGGTGCTTAGTTCCTCTTTGACTTTTATGTTTTGGTGCATTATTATGAGTGTGTGTGTGTGAGTGTGTGTGTGTGTGTGTGTGTGTGTTATGAGTGTGAGTGTGTGTGAGTGTGTGAGTGTGTGTGTGTGTATGAGTGTGTGTGAGTGTGTGTGGTATGAGTGTGAGTGTGAGTGTGAGTTGTGCTTGTATCATGGTGTGCTCGTGGAAGCCAGAGGAAGACTTGTGGGAGGTTTTATTTTTCTATTTCTTATTTTTATTTTTTGGTTTTTCGAGACACAGTTTCTCTTGTAGCTTTGGAGCCTGTCCTGGCACTCGCTCTGGAGACCAGGCTGACCTCGAACTCACAGACATCCCCCTGCCTCTGTCTCCCGAGTGCTGGGATTAAAGGCGTGCACCACCAACGCCTGGCTTCAGGACCCCTGGAAGAGCAGCCAGTGCTCTTAACCTCTGAGCCCTAAGTCTCTCCAGCCCTAAATCAATAAATCTTAAAAAAAAATCTACCTTGTGACTCTGGGCTTTTACTTTTCTCTCTTTCTTTCCTTCTTACTCCGTTGCTGGCCGTGTGGCTGGTGTTCTCT